CCACCTCAGCAGGAAGGGCAGAGGGACAGCAGCCTGAAGGACTCAGCTGAGACAACCTGAAGCATCATGTCACATCATTTCAGCACCCAGCCCCACAAAACTGTGACCTGAATGACACATCTTGTGTTCTGTGCAGCAGCACCCCAGAGAACGAGGCACCGCCAGTGATCCCTGTGACTCACTCCCACAGAAATGCCAAACAGTGCATTTCTCAGGCCCTGTTTTTTCCAGGACTAAGACCTAACTGAGGGCTGCAGGCAGGGATCCAGGAATGGGATTAATAGCACTAAACCCCCTCCAAAAGACTGCAGTGTTCAGTTAATCACTTTTAGGAAAACGCTGGGACAGGAAAACAGGCCCACCTGTTACATACCAGCCTAGAATTAAACACTAACCCCAACCTAGAGGATGTTTTTTTCTATTCTTTCCATCAACCCTGATGAATGAATGCTTAGTCTCTGGCTTTTTAAGACTTCTTTGGACTATTTTACAGGCAAAAAGTGCTCTGAAAATCAGTTCCTCTAAACTGCTCTTTGAGTTTGGAGCTCAGCGACTCGATTTCCACCTGAGTCCCACCTTAGGCACTTGAGTATTTCTGAAGATCTGCGCCAGGTTCCCTAAAAAAAAAAGACTCCCAAACTGTTCAAGGATCAAATCTACCAGCAAAGGTAAGTGTTTGGGTTTGCAGATTCTGTTGTGTTAGGAAGCAGCAGAGCCCAAAGTGTGCTACGTGCTCTGCCCTCTGCTCACAGTCTGAAACAAACACTTCTCCCCCCCCAAATAAAAGGGTGTATTGCCAAAAACTGGGCTGTCATACACTGATTCCGTGTCTCAAATCCTCTGTTTTCTTTCCCTGGCACTAATTATTGCAGATCCCAAAGTGTGCTACGTGCTCTGCCCTCTGCTCACAGTCTGAAACAAACACTTCTCCCCCCCCAAATAAAAGGGTGTATTGCCAAAGACTGGGCTGTCATACACTGATTCCATGTCTTAAATCCTCTGTTTTCTTTCCCTGGCACTAATTATTGCAGATTAACGCAGCTGATGAATTAGCACAGCAAAACTGACAGGATGGATGCAAGGAAAGGTGCCAAAAAGAATTAACTGAAAACTATTTATTTGGGAAAACAACCCAAGCAATCTACAAAATTCTACTCTATTGCACTGGGGGGAATCAGTTTTTTACAGTTGTATTTCTCAGCCAGGAATAATTAAAAACCACACAATTCATTACCATCAGCAAAATATAATAATCTGAGACACACCTGCTTCTGATAACGGGTTCTTCATCATCATATTCCCCAGATAGTACTCCTGGATGTTTATTTTCTGCAATCAGAAGAAGGTAAAACAGGTGTCAGTGACTGTTTCTCCCTGCTTTTTGAAGGAATTCCAGCCTTCTGGAGGAGTTGAGCCAAGGGGGAAGGGGTCGTGAGCAGCCCACCTGCCCCGTTTCCTTCTCCTCGTGGTACTGACGGATGTGTTTGCCATGGCAGACCTCGTAAGTCCAGTAAGACTCAATCTTAAAATTGAAATACATTTTAAAAAATTACATTTAGATATATTTACACACCACAAAACCCCCCAAAAAATCTGGGCTTGCAACCCAAGCAACTGTGTGGGCATGCTGGGGGCACCCTCAAAAACAAGAGCACAGTGAGGGCTCTCAGTGCTCCCCAAACATTTCAGTGATGTTCCAAAGAACCACACCAGGCAAAGCTTCCTTGACTCTCACACAGATAAAACAAAGGGAAAATAAATAAATAAATAGGTAAAATTGTCAGTAAAATCCACGTTTTCCAATTGCTACAGTAGCAACACAATTTCTCTGAATCCTGATGCCTTCGATCATACAGAATTTTATCTGCAATATTAAGATATAAAGGTGCAGAGACCTTATTTCAAACTGAACTAGTACTTGATTTACTACCCAAACCTTGACACGGACTGGACTACACACAGCCTTTTAATTAGCATTTAATACCAACACAGAAGTAACATACTCTATAGGAACAGCTGCTTTGCTTAAAGAGAGGTTCCAGCAGTTCCCCTGGAGTAGGGCCTTTATAGTCCTTTTCTTCTTCCTGGAACAGAAGGGATATTTTGTGACGTTAAAAATGACACGATAAAGGCTCATCTCCCCTTTATAATTTCAAAGTAACTCTGCTGGACTCACCTCGTTGCCACTGGCTATCAGTGGCAGGATACACTTGTATTTCTCTTTATCCACAGTGGTCATGATGATGTAATTGTCCTCTTTGTACAGGACACCAGTCGTGGGCTGTGGAAACGACCAACCTTTGCATCAGCCAGGTGGGTTTTCTGAATGCTACTGGTCAGAAATACCCCTGAACCACTGACTGGGTGCTGCTGATTCCAGAGTATTTCCTGGGCATTAATTATAGCACAAGGCTATAATTAATTGGTGGTTAAAACTGGCTGGGGGTTGCTTTCTGTCCACTTTGCTTCGATCCTTCACCTCCACCCACATCCCCACCATGCCCCAGATCCCACTTCTCCTCCACATCCCCCCTGTCCCCCAGATCCCACTTCTCCTCCACATCCTTGTTACTCCCGCTTCCCTATTTCCCTGTACGGTTCTTATAAAGACCTTCCTTTTACCCCCCAGCCCCAG